ACGAAACCATCAAATTTTAGCTAGAAACTGTATTTTTGTCGATTTTTATTGAATTTGAACTATATTTCAACGTTTTTTGATGGTTCTGAGCCACCAAACACACTTAAAGCATGCAGAATCGACTCAGAATAGGAAAAGGAGACGTTTAGGTCAATTTTATGCATTCTGGCGTTCGTAGATACAAGAAAACTGTTAAAATTCTTCAGAAACTTCACTTTTGAAGTGTTTTCTTGTACTTTTAAGCCACTCAGATACCCTACGGGCTCGGAAAGTGCAACGAAACCATCAAATTTTAGCTAGAAACCATATTTGTGTCGATTTTTATTGAATTTGAACTATATTTCAACGTTTTTTGATGGTTCTGAGCCACCAAACACACTTAAAGCATGCAGAATCGACTCAGAATAGGAAAAGGAGACGTTTAGGTCAATTTTATGCATTCTGGCGTTCGTAGATACAAGAAAACTGTTAAAATTCTTCAGAAACGTCACTTTTGAAGTGTTTTCTTGTACTTTTAAGCCACTCAGATACCCTACGGGCTCGGAAAGTGCAACGAAACCATCAAATTTTAGCTAGAAACTGTATTTTTGTCGATTTTTATTGAATTTGAACTATATTTCAACGTTTTTTGATGGTTCTGAGCCACCAAACACACTTAAAGCATGCAGAATCGACTCAGAATAGGAAAAGGAGACGTTTAGGTTAATTTTATGCATTCTGGCGTTCGTAGATACAAGAAAACTGTTAAAATTCTTCAGAAACGTCACTTTTGAAATGTTTTCTTGTACTTTTAAGCCACTCAGATACCCTACGGGCTCGGAAAGTGCAACGAAACCATCAAATTTTAGCTAGAAACTGTATTTTTGACGATTTTTATTGAATTTGAACTATATTTCAACGTTTTTTGATGGTTCTGAGCCACCAAACACACTTAAATCATGCAGAATCGACTCAGAATAGGAAAAGGAGACGTTTAGGTCAATTTTATGCATTCTGGCGTTCGTAGATACAAGAAAACTGTTAAAATTCTTCAGAAACGTCACTTTTGAAGTGTTTTCTTGTACTTTTAAGCCACTCAGATACCCTACGGGCTCGGAAAGTGCAACGAAACCATCAAATTTAAGCTAGAAACTGTATTTTTGTCGATTTTTATTGAATTTGAACTATATTTCAACGTTTTTTGATGGTTCTGAGCCACCAAACACACTTAAAGCATGCAGAATCGACTCAGAATAGGAAAAGGAGACGTTTAGGTCAATTTTATGCATTCTGGCGTTCGTAGATACAAGAAAACTGTTAAAATTCTTCAGAAACGTCACTTTTGAAATGTTTTCTTGTACTTTTAAGCCACTCAGATACCCTACGGGCTCGGAAAGTGCAACGAAACCATCAAATTTTAGCTAGAAACTGTATTTTTGTCGATTTTTATTGAATTTGAACTATATTTCAACGTTTTTTGATGGTTCTGAGCCACCAAACACACTTAAAGCATGCAGAATCGACTCAGAATAGGAAAAGGAGACGTTTGGGTCAATTTTATGCATTCTGGCGTTCGTAGATACAAGAAAACTGTTAAAATTCTTCAGAAACGTCACTTTTGAAGTGTTTTCTTGTACTTTTAAGCCACTCAGATACCCTACGGGCTCGGAAAGCGCAAAGAAACCATCAAATTTTAGCTAGAAACTCTATTTTTGTCGATTTTTATTGAATTTGAACTATATTTCAACGTTTTTTGATGGTTCTGAGCCATCAAACACACTTAAAGCATGCAGAATCGACTCAGAACAGGAAAAGGAGACGTTTAGGTCAATTGTATGCATTCTGGCGTTCGTAGATACAAGAAAACTGTTAAAATTCTTCAGAAACGTCACTTTTGAAGTGTTTTCTTGTACTTTTAAGCCACTCAGATACCCTACTGGCTCGGAAAGTGCAACGAAACCATCAAATTTTAGCTAGAAACTGTATTTTTGTCGATTTTTATTGAATTTGAACTATATTTCAACGTTTTTTGATGGTTCTGAGCCACCAAACACACTTAAAGCATGCAGAATCCACTCAGAATAGGAAAAGGAGACGTTTAGGTCAATTTTATGCATTCTGGCGTTCGTAGATACAAGAAAACTGTTAAAATTCTTCAGAAACGTCACTTTTGAAGTGTTTTCTTGTACTCTTAAGCCACTCAGATACCCTACGGGCTCGGAAAGTGCAACGAAACCATCAAATTTTAGCTAGAAACTGTATTTTTGTCGATTTTTATTGAATTTGAACTATATTTCAACGTTTTTTGATGGTTCTGAGCCACCAAACACACTTAAAGCATGCAGAATCGACTCAGAATAGGAAAAGGAGACGTTTAGGTCAATTTTATGCATTCTGGCGTTCGTAGATACAAGAAAACTGTTAAAATTCTTCAGAAACGTCACTTTTGAAGTGTTTTCTTGTACTTTTAAGCCACTCAGATACCCTACGGGCTCGGAAAGTGCAACGAAACTGTAGGGATGCTTGATATGTTAAGTTGGCAGCGCGGGCACTAAGCGAGTGCGCGCTGGGAATTGTGAGAAGAGAGGTTAGACAGTTAAGAGTGAGAATAAAAAGCAGCTACCCCTAAGTGTTATTATTCCGGGTTCTTGGGGCTCTCAGGCACGGCCGCACATGGTGTCAGGTGTGAAAACAACCAACGGATAAGTTCGAAAAAGAAACAAACAAGAAAATCCACAAAATGACGGACAACGGCGACGATAAGCAGGAAATCGCTGACCTACGCCAACAACTGAACGTCCTACAACAAATGCTCCAGAATCTGCACTCAACTGCAAAACCAAGCGTAATTAATTCAGTGCCGGCTCCCGAAGCATTTAGTTTCGACAAAAACGAATGGACGGCATGGCTAACGCATTATGAACGCTACAGAATAACGACAAAGTTGGACACAGCAGACGAGAAAGTACAAATAAATAGTCTTTTGCTCCACATGGGCCAGAAAGTCACGAAGATTCTCGAAACGAAAAAGAAAGACGAGTATTCATTCGACACGTACGCAGAGGCGAAACAATTTTTTACTGGCTACTTTGTTGGAACTACAAATATAATTTATGCAAGAGCCAAGTTCAATCGGAGAAACCAAAAAGAAGGTGAGTCCGCACAAGAATATATTACTGCCATTGTTGCTCTAGGTAAAGACTGTAAATACGGACAGTTAGAGGACGAATTGGTTCGTGACCGACTTGTAGTGGGCATACGGGATCAAAAATTATCCGAGTCACTACAATTGACTGAAAAATTAACCCTAGAAATGACGGTAAATAAAATTATGCAAGCTGAGACGATCAAAACAGAAAACCAAGAGCTCAGAGAGGGGGTGCATATAGGCGCTGTCAAGAACAAAAAGCCACAAAAGCAGAAAAGTAGTCGAGAACAAAGGAATCGACCAGAAAAAAAGAAAAACAGAAACAAATGTATGCGCTGTGGTAAAGAACCAAGCCATCCCAGAACAGAATGTCCAGCCAACAACCAAAAATGCAGAAAATGTCGACTGATTGGTCACTATGGGTCTGAGTGCCGAACGAAACGAATTAATGAAAATGTACAAGCAGATCAAAGTAGCACTGACAACAGTGACTACGAGCTTTATCGAGTTATTAAGGTGAACAGAGTGCAGCGATCCAGCCGGTTTCGCATGACTCTCAACTGTGGTGAAATAAAATTAGTCTTTAAACTTGACACAGGGGCTGAGGAATCGGTCATAACCTCAAAAGACTATGAAGAGAAATTAAAAAATTATTACAGATTGAAACCTACTCGAACAGTATTAGCAGGTTTGGGCCAAAACAGATGTCCCGTGCTGGGCAAAATAAAAATTCCCTTAGAAATAGGTGGGAGACAAGAAGTCATTAAAGCCTACGTCGCTGGCACGAACGAAAACCTTCTGGGAGAACCAGCTTTGCTGAAACTACAGATCGTACAGCGGTTGGGAAACGAGATAAAAATGATCGATCAAGTGAGGCTAGAAAATAAGCGATCAACCAAAGAAGAAATTCTCGCAAAATGGCCTGAAGTATTGAAAGGTTTGGGGAAGTTACACAACTTTCAGCATAAGATCTGTGTTGAGGAGGGCGCAGTTTCATTCTCCATTGCGACACCCAGGAGAATACCCCTTCCGTTAATGAAGCAAGTGGAAAAAGAAATAAACAAAATGGTGACACAAAAAGTGATCGAACGTGTGGACAGTCCAACAGAGTGGTGTGCACCTATGGTGGTAGCACAAAAGAAAAACGGTAAAGTACGTGTGTGTGCAGACTTTACGCAATTAAATCAGTTCGTGAGACGCGAACGGTATCAGCTCCCATCAGTGGACGAAACGCTTGCCAAATTGAGGGAAGCCAAGTTATTTTCGAAATTAGATTTCTCTTCCGGGTTTTGGCAACTGGAAATTACACCGGAATCACGAAAATACACCGCGTTCATAACACCTTTCGGAAGATACATGTATCGAAGAATACCTTTCGGTATAACATCGGCTCCAGAAATATTTCAAAAAACACTGTATGGAATAATACAAGAACTTCAGTCTGACTGGATACACGTGCATGCTGACGATATTCTAGTCACGGGCAGAAACAGTCAAGAACACAATGAAAATTTGGACAAAGTGCTAACAGTAGTGAAGAAACACGGTTTAACGCTCAACAAAGACAAATGTGAATTCAACAAATCAGAAACCTCTTACTTGGGATATGTTGTTGGAGCGGAAGGTATCAAAATTGACCCAAAAAGCATAGCAGCTATTCGTGACTATCCAGCACCCAACAACCCAACAGAAGTCAAACGATTTCTTGGTATGGTAAATTATGTCGCGAAATTTATTAGCAATGTTGCCGAGAAAACCAAGTATCTACGAGAGACGATAAAAAACAGCACGTCATTTGTATGGACAGAAAAACACGAGGAAGAATTCCAGAATTTAAAGGAAACTATAGCATCAGCTCCCGTATAAGCAAAATATGACGTCGACAAACCAACACGAGTCGCAGCCGACGCCTCAGCATTTGGAATTGGAGCTGTGTTGGAACAACAGCAAAATGACGACAACTGGAAACCAGTGTACTTTTGTTCCAAAACCTTAAGTGACGCGGAGCAACGGTATGCTCAGATCGAAAAAGAAGCACTCGCAGCCACGTGGGCATGCGAACGGTTAGAGCAATTTCTCATAGGATCGCGTTTTTTAGTGCTAACGGACCACAAACCGCTGTTAGTGATATTAACGACGAAAGAAATTAATAAACTCTCCAACCGATTACAAAGACTAAGAATGCGGTTGTTAAAGTTTAATTATGATGTGCAATACGTCCCGGGAAAAACATTCCATGTACCCGACGCGTTATCTCGCGCACCTCTACACGAAGGCGTCCGCGACGGCGATTCAGCGCTTAGGACCAGGAAATATATATCAACGCAGTGTTGACAGAACTATCATCGAGTTCCTGCTCAGAAGAGGTGGTACGGAAACATCAGGAGGAAGATCAAGAAATGCAACTATTGAAGAAATTTGTAGTAGAAACATGGCCAGGAAAACCACCTACTGCCGTGACACCATACTTTAAATTTCGTAACGAATTAAAAATCCACAATAACCTAATCTGTTATAGAGATCGCTTAGTAATTCCCAGGGCCCTCCGCAAGCAATGTTTGCGAGTACTACACGATGGACACCTGGGCACGCCCAAATGTCTGGAAAAAGCGAAGACAACAGTTTGGTGGCCTGAATTACGCCGACATCTGAAGGATATGGTTGAAAACTGCGAGACTTGTATCAAGCACCGCCAGCCTGTAGTCGAGCCAATGATCCCTTCCACAGTACCATCCCGTCCGTGGAAAGTCCTAGGTGCGGACCTCGCCTACTACAATGGAAAGAATTACCTAGTGGTGCAGGACTATTACTCGAAATACCCTGAAATTCGCAAGCTGAAAAAACTGACTAGCTTAGAAACAATAGAATATCTCAAGGACATATTCTCGCACCATGGAATTCCGGAAGAATTAAGAAGCGATAATGGTAAACAGTTCGACAGCCTCGAGTTCAGAACTTTTGCCAAGGACTACGGATTTCGATGGGTGAGCAGCAGCCCGGAATTCCAGCAGAGTAATGGACAAGCAGAAAGTGCAGTCAAACTATTGAAAACCATCTTGAAGAAGAACGAGGATCCATTTCTGGGCATGCTGGCCTACAGAAATACTCCCTTATCCTGCGGAGCCTCCCCAGCCCAGCTGTTGTTTGGCAGGCAGTTACGGGACAGGGTGCCAGCAATAAGCAGAAGATTGGTACCAAAGCTGCCAAACCATCAAGCAATTAGGAGAGAAATGGAGGCAGAAAAACAACGACAAAAACATCACTACGATAGACGGCATCGCACGAAAGATAATGCGGAGCTGAAGGCTGGTGATCGAGTGTGGCTTATTCATCGAAAAGAAGAGGGAATGGTGCAGACGCCAGATGAAACACCAAGATCATACTGGGTAAAGACTCCTCATGGCCAGGTCAGAAGAAACCGACAACATTTGCAAAAACTACCAGAGCTGGGTGAAAATCCCCCAAGAAATTCTGAGCCAGAGATCATGTCTTCACCAACCAACAAACAACCAAAAACGCCAACACCTCCCGTCTCTGCGAGACCAAACCGCACGAAAAAACCACCAGGCAGATTTAAAGATTTTGTGATAAATTAAACCACTTTCTAGTATTATATTATTTAGATACGTTGTTATTTTAATAGTTATATCTTAGTTTTGTAAATCTAGTTTAAAGTAAAGAATAATACAAAAGATGGGGGATGTAGGGATGCTTGATATGTTAAGTTGGCAGCGCGGGCACTAAGCGAGTGCGCGCTGGGAATTCTGAGAAGAGAGGTTAGACAGTTAAGAGTGAGAATAAAAAGCAGCTACCCCTAAGTGTTATTATTCCGGGTTCTTGGGGCTCTCAGGCACGGCCGCACAGAAACCATCAAATTTTAGCTAGAAACTGTATTTTTGTCGATTTTTATTGAATTTGAACTATATTTCAAAGTTTTTTGATGGTTCTGAGCCACCAAACACACTTAAAGCATGCAGAATCGACTCAGAATAGGAAAAGGAGACGTTTAGGTCAATTTTATGCATTCTGGCGTTCGTAGATACAAGAAAACTGTTAAAATTCTTCAGAAACGTCACTTTTGAAGTGTTTTCTTGTACTTTTAAGCCACTCAGATACCCTACGGGCTCGGAAAGTGCAACGAAACCATCAAATTTTAGCTAGAAACTGTCTTTTTGTCGATTTTTATTGAATTTGTACTATATTTCAACGTTTTTTGATGGTTCTGAGCCACCAAACACACTTAAAGCATGCAGAATCGACTCAGAATAGGAAAAGGAGACGTTTAGGTCAATTTTATGCATTCTGGCGTTCGTAGATACAAGAAAACTGTTAAAATTCTTCAGAAACGTCACTTTTGTAGTGTTTTCTTGTACTTTTAAGCCACTCAGATACCCTACGGGCTCGGAAAGTGCAACGAAACCATCAAATTTTAGCTAGAAACTGTATTTTTGTCGATTTTTATTGAATTTGAACTATATTTCAACGTTTTTTGATGGTTCTGAGCCACCAAACACACTTAAAGCATGCAGAATCGACTCAGAATAGGAAAAGGAGACGTTTAGGTCAATTTTATGCATTCTGGCGTTCGTAGATACAAGAAAACTGTTAAAATTCTTCAGAAACGTCACTTTTGAAGTGTTTTCTTGTACTTTTAAGCCACTCAGATACCCTACGGGCTCGGAAAGTGCAACGAAACCATCAAATTTTAGCTAGAAACTGTATTTTTGTCGATTTTTATTGAATTTGAACTATATTTCAACGTTTTTTGATGGTTCTGAGCCACCAAACACACTTAAAGCATGCAGAATCGACTCAGAATAGGAAAAGGAGACGTTTAGGTCAATTTTATGCATTCTGGCGTTCGTAGATACAAGAAAACTGTTAAAATTCTTCAGAAACGTCACTTTTGAAGTGTTTTCTTGTACTTTTAAGCCACTCAGATACCCTACGGGCTCGGAAAGTGCAACGAAACCATGAAATTTTAGCTAGAAACTGTATTTTTGTCGATTTTTATTGAATTTGAACTATATTTCAACGTTTTTTGATGGTTCTGAGCCACCAAACACACTTAAAGCATGCAGAATCGACTCAGAATAGGAAAAGGAGACGTTTAGGTCAATTTTATGCATTCTGGCGTTCGTAGATACAAGAAAACTGTTAAAATTCTTCAGAAACGTCACTTTTGAAGTGTTTTCTTGTATTTTTAAGCCACTCAGATACCCAACGGGCTCGGAAAGTGCAACGAAACCATCAAATTTTAGCTAGAAACTGTATTTTTGTCGATCTTTATTGAATTTGAACTATATTTCAACGTTTTTTGATGGTTCTGAGCCACCAAACACACTTAAAGCATGCAGAATCGACTCAGAATAGGAAAAGGAGACGTTTAGGTCAATTTTATGCATTCTGGCGTTCGTAGATACAAGAAAACTGTTAAAATTCTTCAGAAACGTCACTTTTGAAGTGTTTTCTTGTACTTTTAAGCCACTCAGATAACCTACGGGCTCGGAAAGTGCAACGAAACCATCAAATATTAGCTAGAAACTGTATTTTTGTCGATTTTTATTGAATTTGAACTATATTTCAACGTTTTTTGATGGTTCTGAGCCACAGAAACACACTTAAAGCATGCAGAATCGACTCAGAATAGGAAAAGGAGACGTCTAGGTCAATTTTATGCATTCTGGCGTTCGTAGATACAAGAAAACTGTTAAAATTCTTCAGAAACGTCACTTTTGAAGTGTTTTCTTGTACTTTTAAGCCACTCAGATTAAGCCACTCAGATACCCTACGGGCTCGGAAAGTGCAACGAAACCATCAAATTTTAGCTAGAAACTGTATTTTTGTCGATTTTTATTGAATTTGAAATATATTTCAACGTTTTTGATGGTTCTGAGCCACCAAAGACACTTAAAGCATGCAGAATCGACTCAGAATAGGAAAAGGAGACGTTTAGGTCAATTTTATGCATTCTGGCGTTCGTAGATACAAGAAAACTGTTAAAATTCTTCAGAAACGTCACTTTTGAAGTGTTTTCTTGTACTTTTAAGCCACTCAGATACCCTACGGGCTCGGAAAGTGCAACGAAACCATCAAATTTTAGCTAGAAACTGTATTTTTGTCGATTTTTATTGAATTTGAACTATATTTCAACGTTTTTTGATGGTTCTGAGCCACCAAACACACTTAAAGCATGCAGAATCGAATCAGAATAGGAAAAGGAGACGTTTAGGTCAATTTTATGCATTCTGGCGTTCGTAGATACAAGAAAACTGTTAAAATTCTTCAAAAACGTCACTTTTGAAGTGTTTTCTTGTACTTTTAAGCCACTCAGATACCCGACGGGCTCGGAAAGTGCAACGAAACCATCAAATTTTAGCTAGAAACTGTATTTTTGTCGATTTTTATTGAATTTGAACTATATTTCAACGTTTTTTGATGGTTCTGAGCCACCAAACACACTTAAAGCATGCAGAATCGACTCAGAATAGGAAAAGGAGACGTTTAGCTCAATTTTATGCATTCTGGCTTTCGTAGATACAAGAAAACTGTTAAAATTCTTCAGAAACGTCACTTTTGAAGTGTTTTCTTGTACTTTTAAGCCACTCAGATACCCAACGGGCTCGGAAAGTGCAATGAAACCATCAAATTTTAGCTAGAAACTGTATTTTTGTCGATTTTTATTGAATTTGAACTATATTTCAACGTTTTTTTATGGTTCTGAGCCACCAAACACACTTAAAGCATGCAGAATCGACTCAGAATAGGAAAAGGAGACGTTTAGGTCAATTTTATGCATTCTGGCGTTCGTAGATACAAGAAAACTGTTAAAATTCTTCAGAAACGTCACTTTTGAAGTGTTTTCTTGTACTTTTAAGCCACGCAGATACCCTACGGGCTCGGAAAGTGCAACGAAACCATCAAATTTTAGCTAGAAACTGTATTTTTGTCGATTTTTATTGAATTTGAACTATATTTCAACGTTTTTTGATGGTTCTGAGCCACCAAACACACTTAAAGAATGCAGAATCGACTCAGAATAGGAAAAGGAGACGTTTAGGTCAATTTTATGCATTCTGGCGTTCGTAGATACAAGAAAACTGTTAAAATTCTTCAGAAACGTCACTTTTGAAGTGTTTTCTTTTACTTTTAAGCCACTCAGATACCCTACGGGCTCGGAAAGTGCAACGAAACCATCAAATTTTAGCTAGAAACTGTATTTTTGTCGATTTTTATTGAATTTGAACTATATTTCAACGTTTTTTGATGGTTCTGAGCCACCAAACACACTTAAAGCATGCAGAATCGACTCAGAATAGGAAAAGGAGACGTTTAGGTCAATTTTATGCATTCTGGCGTTCGTAGATACAAGAAAACTGTTAAAATTCTTCAGAAACGTCACTTTTGAAGTGTTTTCTTGTACTTTTAAGCCACTCAGATACCCAACGGGCTCGGAAAGTGCAACGAAACCATCAAATTTTAGCTAGAAACTGTATTTTTGTCGATTTTTATTGAATTTGAACTATATTTCAACGTTTTTTGATGGTTCTGAGCCACCAAACACACTTAAAGCATGCAGAATCGACTCAGAATAGGAAAAGGAGACGTTTAGGTCAATTTTATGCATTCTGGCGTTCGTAGATACAAGAAAACTGTTAAAATTCTTCACAAATGTCACTTTTGAAGTGTTTTCTTGTACTTTTAAGCCACTCAGATACCCTACGGGCTCGGAAAGTGCAACGAAACCATCAAATTTTAGCTAGAAACTGTATTTTTGTCGATTTTTATTGAATTTGAACTATATTTCAACGTATTTGATGGTTCTGAGCCACCAAACACACTTAAAGCATGCAGAATCGACTCAGAATAGGAAAAGGAGACGTTTAGGTCAATTTTATGCATTCTGGCGTTCGTAGATACAAGAAAACTGTTAAAATTCTTCAGAAACGTCACTTTTGAAGTGTTTTCTTGTACTTTTAAGCCACTCAGATACCCTACGGGCTCGGAAAGTGCAACGAAACCATCAAATTTTAGCTAGAAACTGTATTTTTGTCGATTTTTATTGAATTTGAACTATATTTCAACGTTTTTTGATGGTTCTGAGCAACCAAACACACTTAAAGCATGCAGAATCGACTCAGAATAGGAAACGGAGACGTTTAGGTCAATTTTATGCATTCTGGCGTTCGTAGATACAAGAAAACTGTTAAAATTCTTCAGAAACGTCACTTTTGAAGTGTTTTCTTGTACTTTTAAGCCACTCAGATACCCTACGGGCTCGGAAAGTGCAACGAAACCATCAAAAATTAGCTAGAAACTGTATTTTTGTCGATTTTTATTGAATTTGAACTATATTTCAACGTTTTTTGATGGTTCTGAGCCACCAAACACACTTAAAGCATGCAGAATCGACTCAGAATAGGAAAAGGAGACGTTTAGGTCAAATTTATGCATTCTGGCGTTCGTAGATACAAGAAAACTGTTAAAATTCTTCAGAAACGTCACTTTTGAAGTGTTTTCTTGTACTTTTAAGCCACTACGTTTTTTGATGGTTCTGAGCCACCAAACACACTTAAAGCATGCAGAATCGACTCAG